AACTAGGATGGAAATTATTCTATAATTCTGGATCAACTCAAATGGACAGGACCTGAAAATACCACCTTTCTGAGACATCTGTAGGGAAAGTTTAAAAAGATAGGGTATTCAAAATATCATACACTCTGTTTGAGCATGACCATTCCTGAAGATTAGTTTGACACTGGGCAAGAATGAGTAGAAATATCTAAAGTGGATATGGGGAAAAGTCACAGAATTAAGAGGCAAAAGGGCAGAGTCTGTCGAGTGCAGGGAAAGAGTAAAGCCTGTAGGCAATGGCACATACTTCGTAAACAGTGATTTTGGCAGTGATATCCGTTTTACCTGTGGTTACATGATTCCAGGTAGGGCCAGACAGGACCTTTGCAGAAGTATGACTGTATATACGATCCTGGACTTTTCTAGCAATCTTCATCACTCCAGAGCAGGAAAAAGAGAGTAATTTAAGATTTGAGATCAGTGGACAACAATGTTGGAAAATCAATGAAACACAGATAAAAGTAGAACTAGCAGAAGTCTGACAGACAAGAGAATATAAAACCAGATAAATGGCTGTTTTAAAGGAGTTGAAAGTGGGAAGATGTTTTTATATACTCCAAAAGCAATCATACATTGATATACGGGGTTTTAAAAAATATTTGTGAGAGGTGCCACAGCATGCATGCTTCCTCCCTCCACCTTTACTTGGGTTCTACAAATCAAACTGTGGCAAGCACCTTTACAGTGTGAGCAACGTCGCCAGCTCCAAATGTAGCTTTTCAGAGTAATTTTGGAAAAGGCAAAGGACTCAAAACTAAAACTTAATCTAACGTGAGTAATCAAAATAGTCAAACAGACAATAATATGATACTGTTTGTGTTTTTACATTTCTCAGACTGCCCAACTATAATAAAAATCAGATTATGTGTGTCTTCAGTAAAATTAAGAAACAAAGGCCTATGTCATAAAATGAAAGCATATCACAAATAAGATACATTATTTTACTTGAATATTTTGATATGAGTTTCTTTTTCAGCAGCCTTTGAAGCACTATCAACCCCAGTAATTAATCTGAAATTGTCCATTTCACAGTATTCTACTAATTATAGTGCATTTTGCCAGCTCGTGTGAGGTGACTCTCAAAGAAACCTAACCTGGGAAAAGGAAACTTTACCCACATCCCAAACCCGTTTGTAGAAGCAGAAGAGCCTCATGGGCCACACACTGCAAATAGGTAAGGTTCACATTTTTCTCAGGACTAAGAAAAACCTGAGTCCTAACAATACTGGTCACTAAACTCAGAGCCATTGTAAATAAGTAGCTGAGCTAGTACTTTAGTTTCTTTGTGATATATATACAGAAACCTACAAAATGTTAGGTTATGAAACTATATTGTTACTATAAAAAAATACTGTCTTTTTCACTCAGTAATTTTGTGTAAACGTAACTATATATTTGGTAGAATTCGTTATAGTTCCATATACTTACAAGTAAGGCTCAAGAACAATTATTACTTCTGAGGAATTATCTGTTGATTTCCTACCACTTGAAATATTAAACTTAAGGTTTAATCCAAATACATGAGTCGTGTACTGTGTGCTTACATGCTGTGGCTGAAGGCAGTGAGTCAACAGTATCATGATATAAAATATCTACTATTACAACTCCCTAAGGAAATTTGGTGAAATCAGTTGAGCATAATTTGAATTCTTTGTTTAGCTAATTATCAATGGCTCCAAAGTGGCCTACTGTAAAAGGTTTCTCAGTAAATTGCTTTCAGAGCCAAGGGCAGTTTGTAGGAATTATAATTCTTTTACACTCCACACAAGGTTCTCTTTGTTTATCAGCCTGCATGTTACATGTATCCTTGCACTTTCCACAAATGGTTTATATGTAACCCTGATTCATAATCAAACTACAATGACAACTTAAATGGTCTTCCAGTCTTCTCAGGTGGGTTTAAATTTGAACATGAACTTTTTATTATCTTAATAAATATACCCGTCATATCACCACGGATAAAGAATTAAAACATGTAAGCTTCCAAGTCCTATTACTCAATATCTTTCTTAAAGCTTCCAGGCCCCAGACTGACAATTACCACATCGTATGCCTGTTGCTTCCCTTATTATCTTATTATCTACTCTTAATATCCTTAGCAATTAAGATCATATCCAGTGTGTCTGGAGGAAGGGTGACCTGGACCAGACTTCCTGAGATGTTATCTGGTGCAGGCACTGAAGCTGTGATGAGAATCTGATGAAAACAATATTGGGGAAGAAAAGCTATTCAGTCTTTGTTCCAGGGAAGAAAGAGAAACTGCTGGAGTTTGTTGTTTATAAATGAATACATGCAATGTTATTTGCACTGTGTTTGCTCATCTGCATTGCAACTAAGACCTCCAAAATCTCCCCTGTCCATTTCCAAATTCCTATGAGTCAAAAAGAAGTAATCTAGGCAACATTTGAAAGATGGAAACCAAGCAAAACCATAACCTTTACACTGGGAGGTCAGTTTATTTTATTTTATTGTTTTGGGTTTTTTTGTTTTTTGTTTTTTCGAGACAGGGTTTCTCTGTGTAGCTTTGCGCCTTTCCTGGAATGGAACTGGCTTTGGAGACCAGGCTGGCCTCGAACTCACAGAGATCCGCATGCCTCTGCCTCCTGTTGGGATTAAAGGCGTGCGCCACCACCGCCGGGCTAGGGAGGTCAGTTTAAGACATCAGGCACCATTACAACTGAGGCATAGTGATTCTATTAGGCTGGCTCAGCTGAAATGGAGCATCAGTCACATGTGGAACTTTCGCCCCCACTGGATCCTCCTGCAGATTCTCTGAATCCTGGGCCAATGTGCATGGCTTCTGTAGCAGCAAGTGGAGGTGCGAATTTCAGCTTCACTTTTAAGCCACCAGGTGTACTGATAATGTCTGGAGGTAGCAAGAGAGCTACCTACGCTCCAACTCATGCTTCATGTGATTTAATCTGTCCTAGCCATCCTCTGAATCCCCCTCTTTCTCAGTCTGCCCTGTTGACTTCAGAACTAGAATCTACTATAGAAAACACAAGTTGATATACCTCTTTAATCCACTCCACAAATGTATGAAGTAAAGCCCTGTGGCAAATGTCTTATTCCTCTCCCTCCTATTGACTAATAAAATATGAATTTCCATTCTTACTAGGTTATCACATTTAATAAAGCATATAATAAACTATTTCATATCATTTACTAAAACTTAGTTTAATAAAAGGGAAAATTCTGTATTTAATACATTAAATTGATTTTTTTTTTGCTCCTATCCAATAAACATTATTGATTAAATTTTTCCAGCAAGGGTAAAATGTCAATCATATAAAATTACTGAAAATGTAAGATTACCTCTGAAAGACCATTCTCAAAGCCCAAGTCCTACAGAAGTTAATTCAGTTATAAGAGAATGATGGTCTCATGGATTCTGTGAATTCAATCATGGAAGCCATTTCCTAAAATTAACAACATGAAGAACTGGTACTTTTCACACTTCTGAAATTAAGATAGTACTTTAGCATTCAAGACATACCCACTATCTCATGGTGAAAACATCAGCCTCAGGCTAGTGAAACCATAACAGAACTAGTAAAGTTATTTGTAAATGTTTTCCTTTAATATTTTTCTCACGCAAGCTACTGGTGTGATCCTTACCCCGTGTTAAATTCTTTTTTTTAAAAAAACAGTTCCTTACCTAACAGAGAATAGAATGTTTTAAGTATAAAAAAAGAGGGGGGGGGGTGGGAACATAAAGAATTGTTTGGTGCACATTCTATGATTCCTTCCCTACATTTTTTTTTCTGTTGTATACTGCCTAGCTGTGATAAAGTAATAGAATATCTACTACTGAGTCACCTGGTGTCACTTAACAAGTCAAATTACAAGAGACATACTTGATGGTGCAGAATTCAAAGGAAGAAAGGCCCACAGAAGACCTGCAATCCAGTTAAAAAGAGAAAGAGAGAGAGAGAAATGAAGGAAGGAAGGAAGCAAGCAAGCAAGCATGAGTGATATTGGCCCATACCAAGGCTTGAGAGAGAACTTATTCAAGGAAAATTGTGAAAGATTGGGGTGTGTTGCAGGTATGCACCTGTAAAGAGGCTAAAAAAGGAACAGAAAAAAACATGGTAAAGTGAAGATGGGTCTATGTCAAGTTAATGCCTACATCTGAAGTCCTCAAAAGTGCTGTCTTTATAAATGTCTCAACCCAAAGCCACTTAACATCTTCATCAAAGTCCTATTTGCAACAAATACTTTATTCAAGTGATTATAGAAAAGCTGTTTATTTTCCATTAGGTGGCATAAAGTCCATGCTAGTCAATTTCAGTAGGTTTGCAAGAAGCAGCCATAACTGTAGACCCTGAAAGATTAATAACATTTCAAAATGTAAAAATATAACAGGTATTGGTAACAAAATAAGGAAAGCACTGAAATGCCAAAACTCAAGATGGGGTTCAAGGAATCAGTGAAAGTGTCTAATGCGTATTCTGCAATTAGAGGGGAAAAATCAAGAGACGAAGCTTGCCAAGTGAGGTAGCATACTATGGATTACAGGATCCTGAATGCCAATGTAAATATATACAGAAATGCTCATATACACATACATATGTGTGTGTGTGTGTGTGTGTGTGTGTGTGTGTGTGTGTGTGTGTGTGTAAAGGATCTTTGTGGTAAATTATATAACATATATATGATCTTTTATATGTTGGGACTAGGGATTAAACCTGAGGCTTCACACATGCTAGGCACACGCTGAGTATGTCACCAGGCCAGCACAAAGATCCAGTTTATATAATGGTAGAACCACAGCACTTCCTCCACCTCTCTACCATAATAAGACTTTTGTTAGTATATATTAACAGTACGAAATAATAGACAACACTTTCACACACAACACCTTGATCGTATTTGTCTCCCATTGCCTTCTCACCTCCTTCCCTCCTTCCTGATCCCAAGCATTCTTCCTATTACATCATTTTGTTCCTAGATCACACACACACAAACAGAAATGCTTCACAAGTTTGCACTTCATCCTTATACAGAGGCTTAATCTCCCTGCATTAATCCAATTTTATCATATGTGCTGCCAAAATGAACACATCACTGACTGTATTCTTTTTTTTTTTTAAGATTTATTTTATTATGTATACAGTGTTCTGCCTGCATGTATGCCTGCAGGTCAGAAGAGGGTACCAGATCTCATGACAGATGGTTGTGAGCCACCATGTGGTTGCTGGGAATTGAACTCAGGACCACTGGAAGAGCAGCCAGTGCTCTTAACCTCTGAGCCATCTCTCCAGCCCCCACTGACTGTATTCTTATTCCAAGAGGCCATCTTCCAAAGACAAGTGACAAAGGACTATTAATTAAGGTCTTTCTGGCAAGAGTATACAGGTTCAATAATATATATATATTATATAATAACATATATATTATATATTATTATATAATAACATATATATTATATATATAATAACATTATATATATATGGTTTCAATACATGCTTGATACTATAAACTTAGTCAAAAGCTTGTGACTAGGGAGGTCACAGGTACTGTGGAGGAACCTACTACTGATGTTTTGGTTTTTAGACATATAAATATTTATGGTTATACTCATAGACTTGGGGCAGCTCTTATTATTGGTCAGAAAAGCCTCTTCTGGGAGTGGGCAACAGTCAAATCAGAGACCCAAAACTCACTGGGGTGCTGAGAATAAGGGATGACAGAGTGCTGAGCCCAGAACTTGGCACTGGACTAAAGGTACAACCAATGTGGATATTAAAAGAATTTTCAGATTTGTATTCTAATGGCCTACCTTTTAAAAAGTGAAAACATTGTGTTTCTTTGAAAAGAATGAATTTCAACTGGAACACTGAACAGATATGATTGACATAGGGAAAAAGAAATTGCTTTAAATGAGTCTCAAAGAAAATAGTAAACACAAGATAATGGAAACATAGAACATAATTTCCCATTTCCAGCTGTTACTGAGGACTGGTCCTATTCCCAGTCTATGAGATATATCAGAAATTGTAATGAATTCCCCTTATTGCTTAACCTGTTTCAGTTAGTTTTCTGAACCTTGCAATAAAGTGGTTGTCATTAATTTTTAAAAAAAAAAAAAAAACTACTTATCCCTGTGGAGAATTTTAAGAGTGTTGCCAGATACCATTATTGTGTCAAAATGAAATTTAAGACTGTAAATAGATAAAATCATTTGTTTCTTATAAAGAAATTAATTTTATTCTTTCAATAACCAATGTGTGTCTTTTTAGTATGCATTGGCGGGGAAACATCCACACATAATTACTCAGAATCTACCTCCTAGAGGTCTGATGGTCCTAGAGTCTGCTCCAATCACACCAGCCAGAGAATAAAAGGACAGAAGAAACCAGTCATGAAAAGGTTTAATGAAGCAAGCACAGAAGAGGGAAGCTCCCTCCTACTCTCCCAATGTACATGACTCGATTACAGGGCTGCACGTAAGCACAAGCAGGGCTGGGCGAGAGTCCTGTTGGGAAATCAAGAGGATATTTCCCACTGACATCTCCTGACTTAGAAAAGAGAACAGTCATGGGCAGATAGCCATCTGTTTCACAACACACATTACTTTGTTTTTTGTGAAGTGGATGTACTGAATATAAGTTGTAACTGAATGTTAAATAAATTCAAACATTTCAAGAATTTAGGGAAGATACATATGCATCAGCAATTCAAACGTGAATGCCTTCAATAACATAGTCTAAGGTTTTAAGAACCCAGTTTTCAGGAATTGAAAGCACTAACACTTCAACCTTTAAGAAAATAATCTGAAGGTATATTTGGTGGTGCACAACTCTAATACCTACACTAAGGAGTCTGAAGCAGGAGGATCACCATGAATTCGAGACCAGCATGGGTTTCATAGCATATACCAGTGACTATCTATAAATGTATTAATTAATTAGTGAGTAAATAACATCCATACCTAAACATATCATTTACTCGTACCAGTCTTCATTTGGCCACTCAAATAAACTCAGATACCATATATACAATGAAATCTGAATAATTTATCTCATCATTGCCCTACATTTGTTTTTATATAAAAATAAATCATAGTTTTTTTCCTGCAAAAAGCTGCTTCTATTCTCTTGGCATAAGGAGATAAATATAATTAAGGGGTCATAGATACCTTCAAGATCAAAAATTCAGATTACAAGCTAATACCTAAGCACACCACCAGCAGTGGCTGGACTAAGTGGATTCTACATTACAAAGTCACTGCTCTTTCAAGAAAAACAAGGTACTGTTTTTAAAGGTGATTTAGCAGCAGTTATCAATATTAACAAATACTCATTACAAATATCCATGTGATACCAAAAAAATAAATATGAAGCCGGGCAGTGGTGGCGCACGCCTTTAATCCCAGCACTTGGGAGGCAGAGCCAGGCGGATCTCTGTGAGTTCAAGGCCAGCCTGGGCTACCAAGTGAGTTCCAGGAAAGGCGCAAAGCTACACAGGGAAACCCTGTCTCGAAAAACCAAAATAAATAAATATGAATATTATCTTTTTAAATAAAATACTGCACCCATATTTTCAATTAATTCACTAAAATGTCAACTTCATGAAGTAGAATTATGTAGTATATATAAATGATACTACAGCCTTATGTTACATGAATATAAAAAATAAAAAGGAGAAAGCAGCTATGACACCACTTTTTGTTTGTTTGTTTGTTTGTTTGGCTTTCAAGATAAGGTTTTTCTGTGTAGCCCTGGCTGTCCTGGAACTTGCTCTGTAGATTAGGCTGGCATTGAAATGAGAGATCCACCTGCCTCTGCCTCCAAAGTTCTGGGATTAAAGACATGCATCACCAGCACCATTCTAACTGACACTATGATGCTTATTAATGGGTTTATTGAGCAGGAGTAGTCAGGAAATAAACACAGATCTGTTTGATTGTAAACTCTGCACTAATACTTTTGCTGTACAAGCTTCCCCTAAAACATATCAGTGTTTGCTCTCCAGATTAAGCACAGACTTAAGAAGAGAGTTTTATTACAAATGCCACTAGCATACTAGTGCAAGAATAGAGAACATGGTTACAAATACAACTAGGTGTTTTCATATTAATTACCTCGTTGGATATTTTTAATGGTGGCTCTAAAATGTATGTTTTTTTCCTTTTCTATGAGACAACTACATTTTGGGGAGGCTGGATGATCTGGGCAGCAACAGCACTCCAATAAGGAGCAGAGCCAAGACCTTTTCCAAGGCTTTTAGAGTTTGTATCATTACTCCCTCTGTTTTATTCCATGAGCCTTTTAAGACACACTGTGTTCTCACTGAATATTTTTGTTTGCTCCTAGTATGGCAATAAATAAGTTTACCTTGTTTTCAAGTTGTGCAATTCATGTGTATAATTTCTCACTGGCTTCTGAAACAAAGCAAACAATCCTATGGACAATCGTTGTTGTTCTCCTAGCAAACAATTAAAATGCTCGTCCTTGAAGTAATGGTTTCTATTGATCTATTTTCTTTTAATATGTTTTTATTAGTTACTCTGTTGGCAAACCTGGAGACTCGCCTCCCCCAAGCAGGTTTAGGGCAGAAAAATGGAAACACTGACACAAAGCAGGAAGCAGTGTCCACGATAGCAGGGTGGCGGTAAGGACAGTCCATAACCTGGACTAACAGGATCGTTATGAGCATGTTTCTAGAAAAATATGTGTGTGTGTGTGTGTGTGTGTGTGTGTGTGTGTGTGTGTGTGTGTGTGTGCTCCAAGTGCAATGTGCTTGCAGTGCGTCATGCGACATGGGTTAAAGGTGAAATAAGCCAAGCACAGAAGAAACTTCAGGGAAGAGTAAAGATGGAGGACTGGCTGCTCGGCAGTGATGACGGAACCACTAATACTCTTCAGATGGGAGAGCAGACGGATGACCCTGTCATCACAGAAAGAATTCACAGGCATCACACCTCCATTGACAGAAGACGGTAAAACATTTTAACAACTTTTCATTGACTAGGGAGCTTAAAAGCTAAACACACTCATCCAGTGTGTTTTGTGAGAAAATTACCAAGTGAAGGCTAACATCAAACTTTATAAGAATGATGAAGAAAATCACAAGAAATAACAAAGTAAGTAAATGAATAGAAGTGAAATAGGTGCTTTTAATATAAATTTTGATATGAAATCAGACATTTAAGAAAAACAATTTTAAACAGGAATACTGCTAAAAATAAAGAAAACTACATAATACAAACACCTATTTATCACTTTAGCCATCTTTTATTTTTATTAACGTGATAGCTAAATGTACAGTCAGGAATACACTCACACCTCTACAAAAAGAAGATAATCAAACATAAGGAATGATGATACAGACTAATACATTTTTAGTGTTACATATAACATGTTCTACCAATGTACAACCATGAACTTACAAAAATGTAACTTGTTAATACTTGCTTTCATGTTCTCCCAGACAACTGGGCAGCAGAAATGTCACTTGATCCAGGCTTGAGTTCTTAAAAGAACCCAAGCATAATAGGCTTTAAAACACCTTCTACTGCTGGCATGGTGAATGCTTCCTGGCTGATTCTGTTGGACAACAGAGACAAAGTAAGCCCTGTAATTACCTCCCAATTTGATCTATGCTTGCAGTCATGTAATTAATACTTCCTCTGTAAAGCAATGGGATAACTTAAAGAGCAGATATTTGTCTTAAAAAAAAACAAGAGGGGGAAACGTGCATTTTAGCTTCGCGCAGCCACTCTGGGACTCCATTTGCTAAGGGAAATTGTAACTAGATTCTCAGAACTTTCATTGTACCAGGAGATGAAAATGATCCTTCCTTCCTGCTGAAAGCAATAGTGAGGAGTAGAAGAAAGGGGGACTGGAGTCTGTATGTATTCCGTGAGGGTTTATGAAAATGGTAAACACAATCTCAGTTCCTGGCTACCTGATCTGCCTTACCACACTGCCAACCACATTTTCAGTCTCAGCCAGGAAACTGGGGCAGAAATCTGGCACCAAAGGTTAGACCTCAACTTACTCGGTAGAAAGAAAACCCTGCACTCCAGCAAATTAGAATGACTTCTCAAATCCATTTA